AGGTGGGCAAGTGGGTGTCGCTCTGCTGTACAGTAGGTTACAAGTGGGTCACTGTATAATGGATGGTATTAAATTTGAATTCAATTTTTTTGATATAATATCATTGTATAAGAAAAACGATTCTGAGTGGTGACGGTATGTCAGTCTATGTATAAGACATATTATATACATATCTATGGTATTAAACAAAAAATTGACCTATAATAGGTACCTATAATAAATTCCAAATTAATCATATCACAATATCCATTAGATACTTATAACGCGTTATACATCAACAAAAACCGTGATACTATCATAGATATATAATAGTACACTTTAGAAGTTTCAAGTATCCACGAATAATATTATTCAATCACAACAAAATAACTAAAATAGTTGTTCTAGGTTTTTTAATATGTCGAGTACGACCAAATATTATAAAATATGAATGATTCATTTATATAATATTTACCTAGTACAACGATAAAAATTGTAGCTCAAGTCCAAGATGTCCGACGATGCATAACGCATTAACTCCTCGAAATCCTGGCATGTTACCCAAAAATTATTAAAATACGTATGCACAATATATATTTTTTTTATTGACCAGCTCTCATTTTGACGAAATTGGATAGGCATCTATTAAATGAATAATTAATTTATATACTTATAATTGTGTTATATGTAATTCAAAAAAAGGTGGGCAAGTGGGTGTCGCTCTGCTGTACAGTAGGTTACAAGTGGGTCACTGTATAATGTATAATATTAAGTTTGAATTCAACGATATAATATCATTGTATAAGAAAAACGATTCTGAGCGGAGACAGTATGTCAGTCTAGGTATAAGACATATTATATACATTATACATATCTATGGTACTAAACCAAAATTTGACCTATAATAGGTAGGTACCTATAATAAATTAAAAAATTAATCATATCAAAATATCCATTAGGTACTTATAACGCGTTATACATCAACAAAAACCGTGATACTATCATAGATATATAATAGTACACTTTAGAAGTTTCAAGTATCCACGAATAATATTATTCAATCACAACAAAATAACTAAAATAGTTGTTCTAGGTTTTTTAATATGTAATTTCGTCCAAATTTGAATTTAAAATGTCTGTAAAAAATAACTGTGTTCATATATTTTTAGATTTTTTGGTTACAGTATGAACTATTTACGAGAACCTTTGTGTTGAATTTGCAATCCTTAGATATAAAAACTGAACATTTTATAATTTATTAATTACAATGATTGATAATTTTCGAGATTTTGATAAATTTTGTCAAAATTTGATTTTTAAATGCTTTTAAAAAAAAAAACTGTGCCTATGTATTTTTAATATTTTTCAACTGATATTGTAACAATATATCAGGAGCCTTGTATTCAATTTTTACACTTTTTGGCCCAACAGATAAAACTTTATTGATATTTATAGAAAAAAAAACTAAAAAAAATTGAAAGCTGTAAATGTCCATAAACAGCTCAAAAAGAGTCAAAATATTTTCAAAATTGTATGGTGTATAGGAAATTCTAATATAAACATTCAGTGAAATTTTCATGTATTTACAGTTATTGGTTTTTGAATTACAACAAAATAAGGAAATCGCTACATGAGAAATCGAGTTACAAAAAATGTTGTACAAATTTGAATTTCAAACGCTCATAAAAATTTAATTTGACTTTCCGGTAGAGATTTTTTTATTGATAAAGGTAGAAAAACTTATGAGTAATCTTGTATTACATTTTCAAATCTTAGATTTAAAAAGAAAAATTTTTACGAATTCTTAACTCAAAATAATTCGTTAATTTTCGTGATTTTTCCATATTTTTACAATTTTTGAACTTTAAATGCTTATAAAAAAAAATTGTGACTACGGATTTTTAATATTTTTCATCTGCCTTTGAAACAATATATTAGGAGCCTTCTATTAAATTTTCAAACTTTTGCAACCAACAAATAAAATTTTATTGATATTTTTATAAAAAAAACTAAAAAAAAATGGAAAATGAAAATGTCCCTAAACAGTTCAAAATAAATCAAAATATTTTGAAAATGTTATCGTGTATAGAAAATGCAAATATAAACAACCAGTGAAAATTTCATATATATACGTTCATTTGTTTTAGAGTTACACCAATAACCAAAATCGATTTTTGGAAAACCAATTTTGCGTAAAAATTCCCGTTTTTCTTTAATTTTTATGTTGTTTTTCCCGGCGCTTGTGAAAACTACTGGGAAATTTATACTTTTGAAACCCCCAAAGTACCAACTAGATTCACTTTCCTATCAGAAAAGCTACTGATGAAGAAAATCCAAGCCATTTTACTGTCCTAAAACGTGATGAGAGACACAAAAAAAAAAAAAAAAAAAAAAAAAAACACACTTCATTGTAAAACTAATACATTCATCGCTTCCCTCAGAATCTAAAATGTAAATAATATAATTATGTTTTTTTTTTTTTTAACGGACATAAATCAGATCAATTGTGTTTGTTAAGAAATAAAATGTATGTATATACTCGGGAAACGAACAGAAAAACAGTAGTTAAATACATTTTTTGAACCCCCCCCCCCACACCCCTTGAATAAATCCTGGTTATGGTACTGTGCAGACATAATTCACAACACAACCATGAACATAATCTTTAATGTTGATGTACACGAACACGACCATAAAAAAAATATACTTTTATTCAAATCAAGACACGACACCGACTTCATGTACAGGTGGTGCGCTCTTGAGGCCGAAATGTCGGTCGTTCTATTTGACACAATTTGTACATTTTTATTGGAAAACCGATGTCTTTTTTTATACTGTGACACGGATTTTCTACGTATTCGAAACATGGGATCATCGATTATATGTATAATCGCATATTTTACGTCCCAACTGAGGTCGATATATACATCAACGCAGGAATGAAATACTGATGTACTTGGTTGATGATGAGTGTTTATTTAAGTACAAAATTACAATGTACCGGGTGATTCTTTTATCAAACAACACTCATTATTTCAAAAAGTGTAAATTTTTTGAAGATATTTTTTTACATAGTTTCAAGTCGCTTATAAAACAATGTTTTTATTAAAAAACTAGCTGGTGTTACCCCGGCTTCGCCTGGGTTGCGACCATACGAATATTTCACTTAGAATTTTTTTTTCTTAATAAATTATGAATTCAGTTTGGTGATGTTATTTTTTTTTTATTTTCTTAATAAAATTTTCGGTCGTTTTAAAACTACTATAAAAATGAAAATGATGAATGGTAAATATAAACCAGTCGATGTAGATAACAGTTGGATTGTTCCTTACTCTCCACTTGTTTCAAAAATAATGAAAGCACATATCAATCTTGAATCATGTAGTTCAGTCGTTGCAATAAAATACATATTGATTCACAAAGGGAGTAATCAAGCAATGTTTACAATCGAAAATAAAAAAGATGAAATTGAAGACTATCAATCTGGAAGATACATAAATAGTAAACCCAGAATGTTTTTATCTACGAATATTATTACATAATGTACGTGGTCCAACATCATTTAAAAACTTAAAAAGTGTTGATGGTATTGAATATGATACATACAGAGAAGCATGTCAAAAACTTGGAGTACTCAAATACACTATTGGAAAACTTAATTCAAGCCTTTCCTGATGGTATAGGTACCTTATATACCTTATACCCATTTAAATAATCCACCATACCAAAGAACACCATAAACTAAATCAAAACAACAAAAAATCTTGTTTTTGACACTCTTCTCTTATTTTGCAATAATTATTCATTAACTTTTCCTATATTAATCTTATTTTTTTGTTCTTCGATATCGTTCTTATCATGCCTTCTTTTCATTTTTGTATTTTTTATTTTGCTCGTAGTGGCTTCAGTGGCGTAATTTGGAATTAGTTCTGGGGTGGGATATACATTTATATTATCGTTCTAGTGGGGCAGGCTATACCCCCATACCCCCTTGACCATTAAATCTCATATGTCATAATATTATATTAATTTATTATTTTAAATAAAATGAGGTAAATAGTATAATAATGGTTTTCAAAGACAATAAAGTAAACAATTAATGACCCCGGTAAGTTTTTCAAATTTGCCGCAATTCTAAAAAATTAGGAAATTAAATTTTATATTTTAGTTTCCACCTCAATTATTATACTTTTCCACTAGTCTACTACCCGATACCTATTTAGGGGGGTTTATAGGGTGTATTATATCGAAAAAAATTACTTCACGGGAATAACTCTCAGGCCTTGTAGAATTATCGAATTTTGATGACTATTTTTTTATCTGAAAGAAAAAGACTTCCTACGGGCCACATCGATCTCTGATTTTGTATTTTATTTCAAATAAATGTACTAAAAAATTTGTAAAAAAATGTTTTTTATCTCTTTTTTTCTAGGCATATTATAAAGTTTGAGAATAAAATATTGAAAAATAGAGATCGATGTGGACTAAAGAATATTCCCCTCTAGTAATTAAAAAAAAAATATGAAATGTGGTTGGTTCTATGAGGCGGTATCGTTATTCCCACAGAGTGTATTTTTGAGGATAAAATGGCATCGGCACTGGGCGCCTTAAATGTATTTTAAATTTTTCATAAATTATTATATCAAGTCAATTTTCCTTTTTGTTTTTTTCGCCAAAATATGCAGTAAGTCATCGGGGTTCAACTTATTAATGTCCCGATGCACTGATAACATTGTAAGTCCATTCAAGCATAACGGCTACGAAATAGGCTAAGAATGTATGTACAAAAGGCAAAGCACACCTTTTCGTGACCGTCCTCTGAGCCCCCCGACCATGTCGTTTCCAGTCCATTGTATCTTACTTCGTGAGCTGTAGGAACAATTGTCTTGTCATATATTGTAATTATTGAACTATCGTAGTTTTATAGATACCAGTAAAATAAAAAAATCTCAACTATGATAATATCCATGAATTCTTATTTCTCATTTTAAAATATTTCTTATCTTAAAATCTTTTAAAACCAAGTGCTTACGGGAATTTAATTATGGTTATTCTAAAAAAAAGGCTTCTGGGGGAGGATATAGCACCATAATTCCGCCACTGAGTGGCTTATAAACAAACAGTTTCCATAGAAACATAATAATTATAAAATATACATTAAAATATTATATACATGAAGTCGTCTCGACCTGGTGACTGAGAAAGACATCAAATAGGATTTTCATGTCGGTTCTGACCTTCCTCAGATGTAGCTGAATATCTATGTTGAATTTCAAGTAAATCGGTCAGGTAGTTTTCGAGATCATAAGGATAATAGAAACCGCCACTTACTTTTATATATATAGATTATATTTTTAATTATTTTTTATATAAGAATATTATATAAATAAAAAATCTTATATTCTTATATATAAGAAAAATATTCTACTTTAGAATATAAAATTAAAACCCTAGATTGTCGTTCAAAAAAGTAAAAAACTTAAAAAATTATAAGGATAAAAAATAATTAAAAATATAATTTTTTAATAAAAACGTTGTTTTATAAGCGACTTGAAACTATGTAAAAAAATATCTTCAAAAAAATTTACACTTTTTGAAATAATGAGTGTTGTTTGATAAAAGAATCACCCAGTATATAAGCTATGGTGGACATGTGAGCGGTGTTACGATCTGACTCTGAACTGATACTAAGGACCGTTCTTACAATGTCCGGTAAAGTGTCGGTTAACATTAACCGGACATCGTAAGAACGGCCCTAAGACCGTGAGTGGTTTTACGACCTGCCTCCAAATGTCTTGAGTATCCCTAACCGTCTGCCAAGCTCTTGTCCCGGGCTAGTATTTATATGATCGAATCAATGGCCAAATTCGGTCATGACACTGCGTCCGGGTCTCGTACTTGGTATGCTGGTCGACTCGTATCCTTCGTATGAGTGTTTGACTTTCCTGGAGAGATACTTTTACAGTGGCCCTATCGTGTTATAATATACTAATTGCCTTATTAATTATATCGTCGTGTACTATTAGGAACGTGCGCTACGTCGTACATTGTTTTTACTTAATTACTAAATACGTAGTTACGTAACATATAAATGTAAGATATATGTAACATATATGTAAGATCATAATAATATATCCACACAACGCCTATACAATTTGAATTGCCCACGTCATCGGTGATTATCAGAGATGTTAAGTTTCTGCCTTGATAGAAGACCATTTTTAATAATAATAATGATTATATCATAATTATTATTACTCTCTGCAGCGAGAGAATGCGTCTCGGCCCCACAAAAGTCTCGTGGTACACTACTGTTCACACTTCACCGTCGCGACTTGTATTGCAGTGAACAGTGGCGTATTTATGTGCAGGCACTATAGGCACACACCTACAGCGGCAAATTTTCAGTACTTAGTATTTAAATAAAAGTCTTTTGCATACTTACCTGATTAAAATATAATATATTTTTATAGTAGCTAATTAAATGATTATTTCAGTCAGTGCAGTATATTATATTATTATTTTAGTTATTTAGGGCGGGCATTTTCCACAGGTCTACACGCGGGAAACATGTTAATAAGCCCCTGGCAGTGAATAGCTTATACTATACACATTGTACTTAATTATTTAAAATCGCGAATGCCAAATATTATAAAATATGAATGATTCATTTATATAATATTTACCTAGTACAACGATAAAAATTGTAGCTCAAGTCCAAGATGTCCGACGATGCATAACGCATTAACTCCTCGAAATCCTGGCATGTTACCCAAAAATTATTAAAATACGTATGCACAATATATATTTTTTTTATTGACAAGCTCTCATTTTGACGAAATTGGATAGGCATCTATTAAATGAATAATTAATTTATATACTTATAATTGTGTTATATGTAATTCAAAAAAAGGTGGGCAAGTGGGTGTCGCTCTGCTGTACAGTAGGTTACAAGTGGGTCACTGTATAATGTATAATATTAAGTTTGAATTCAACGATATAATATCATTGTATAAGAAAAACGATTCTGAGCGGAGACAGTATGTCAGTCTAGGTATAAGACATATTATATACATTATACATATCTATGGTACTAAACCAAAATTTGACCTATAATAGGTAGGTACCTATAATAAATTAAAAAATTAATCATATCAAAATATCCATTAGGTACTTATAACGCGTTATACATCAACAAAAACCGTGATACTATCATAGATATATAATAGTACACTTTAGAAGTTTCAAGTATCCACGAATAATATTATTCAATCACAACAAAATAACTAAAATAGTTGTTCTAGGTTTTTTAATATGTAATTTCGTCCAAATTTGAATTTAAAATGTCTGTAAAAAATAACTGTGTTCATATATTTTTTGGTTACAGTATGAACTATTTACGAGAACCTTTGTGTTGAATTTGCAATCCTTAGATATAAAAACTGAACATTTTATAATTTATTAATTACAATGATTGATAATTTTCGAGATTTTGATAAATTTTGTCAAAATTTGATTTTTAAATGCTTTTAAAAAAAAAAACTGTGCCTATGTATTTTTAATATTTTTCAACTGATATTGTAACAATATATCAGGAGCCTTGTATTCAATTTTTACACTTTTTGGCCCAACAGATAAAACTTTATTGATATTTATAGAAAAAAAAACTAAAAAAAATTGAAAGCTGTAAATGTCCATAAACAGCTCAAAAAGAGTCAAAATATTTTCAAAATTGTATGGTGTATAGGAAATTCTAATATAAACATTCAGTGAAATTTTCATGTATTTACAGTTATTGGTTTTTGAATTACAACAAAATAAGGAAATCGCTACATGAGAAATCGAGTTACAAAAAATGTTGTACAAATTTGAATTTCAAACGCTCATAAAAATTTAATTTGACTTTCCGGTAGAGATTTTTTTATTGATAAAGGTAGAAAAACTTATGAGTAATCTTGTATTACATTTTCAAATCTTAGATTTAAAAAGAAAAATTTTTACGAATTCTTAACTCAAAATAATTCGTTAATTTTCGTGATTTTTCCATATTTTTACAATTTTTGAACTTTAAATGCTTATAAAAAAAAATTGTGACTAAGGATTTTTAATATTTTTCATCTGCCTTTGAAACAATATATTAGGAGCCTTCTATTAAATTTTCAAACTTTTGCAACCAACAAATAAAATTTTATTGATATTTTTATAAAAAAAACTAAAAAAAAATGGAAAATGAAAATGTCCCTAAACAGTTCAAAATAAATCAAAATATTTTGAAAATGTTATCGTGTATAGAAAATGCAAATATAAACAACCAGTGAAAATTTCATATACGTATATATACGTTCATTTGTTTTAGAGTTACACCAATAACCAAAATCGATTTTTTGGAAAACCAATTTTGCGTAAAAATTCCCGTTTTTCTTTAATTTTTATGTTGTTTTTCCCGGCGCTTGTGAAAACTACTGGGAAATTTATACTTTTGAAACCCCCAAAGTACCAACTAGATTCACTTTCCTATCAGAAAAGCTACTGATGAAGAAAA